TCAAGTGGTGACAAACTGGGGATGACAAGCTGGGGCCAAAAAGTGAGCGCGAGCAGCAGAAAGAGGCGGCTACGGCACATCATGGCCGCATATTATATATGGCCTTGATATGCCATAGCCGCCTGTTCTTCCTTTTCTGCTTCTCGCGCTCTCTTCTTTTTGCCACCAGCAACGGCGCAAAAAAAAAGAGTTCTGGTGAGAAGAGATGGGAGGTTGAAGAGGAGAGGAAGGAGTATGCGCGGAAGGTGAAGTATAACATAGCCGTATGGAGTGTAGCATAGAAAGTGGTAAGAAAAGTGAGGTTGAGGAGTGATGTTGGAGAGAGGAGGAAATGGAGGACTGGAAAAGAAGACACGGCCTCACAAATGAATGTTTCCTTTTCCTCCATGGACTCCAAGCATGCTGCACGTTTGGGACGCCAGGACACGCTTGCTCGTGAACGCTAGCTTTGCCGAACAGCAGGTGAGTAACTGATCCGCTTTCAAGTTGGGTGCAGCCGCAGAGAGAGAGAAGTAAACGTTTATTTTGAAACAGTGCCCCGAGCAATGTCCGGTGTCACCCTGAGGTGGCAGGGCTCCTTAGTCCAGGAGCCATCTGGCTTCTACTGCCCTCTTGGCCCTGGCGACGAGTAGTTGTTGCTCTTCCAGGTCCTCGAGGGCGAGCTTCGCCTCCCACGTTTCGGTTAGGTCTTCGTTCGTCCGTCCTGCTTCGTTATCAGTCGTGTGTTGTTGCAGATTACGTCTGGCAATACACTGGCATGCAAGAAGCAAGTGCGCCAGGGTGTCCGGTAGGTTGCAAAGCGGGCCCATAGAGCTATATCTCGTTGGGTAGAGACGGGGCAATAGGGCCCAGTGCAGCCGCATAAATTATTTTTTTAATGCGAAGCATTTCTTAGCGAACTTCGGCGACTTACGCGTATCTATCTATCTATCTATCTATCTATCTATCTATCTATCTATCTATCTATCTATCTAGCCGCCTACGGCTTTCATCTCTCCTGGCCGTTTCAATAGTGTTATCAATACCAAACTTGGTATGGCATGACCTGACTATGAAGAACATATTTGACTAGTCATGACATGAAAATCATGACATGGATGTCACGAATGCCATGATATACATTTCATGGTCATGCAGCTCTTGTGGTGGTTTAGTTCACATAGCATGTTGCAAAACTGGTACGGTGTGACTTGATTGCATAGAGAACACAAGCGACAGACTCTAACATGAAAATTGTGGCATGCGTGTCATGTAACAACATGACTAAATGCCAAGCTCATGATGCGCTCGCGGGTGTTTCGCTAGCGTCACATATACCAAATTTGGTATTACGGTACGTGAATGGACGACGAAGGTATGTGACTGGTGCAAACAGGATATTTATGAGATGCGTGTCATTTAACAACATGACTACACGCCTCGCTAATGATGCCCTGCCGGCCGTTTCGCTAGCTTCACCTATACCGAATTCGGTATTACGGGACGTGAATGGGTGATGAAGGTATTATACTGGTGGAAACATGATAACCATCAGATCCATGTAATGTAACAATATGACTACATGCTATGCTCATGATGCGCTCGTGGCCATTTCGCTAGCTTCACATGTACCAAACTCGGTATAACGCAACGCGAATGGACAACATAAGTAAATGACAGATACAAACATGATATTCACGACATGCGTGTCATGTAACATGACTACATGCCACACTCATGATGCGCTCATGGCCGTTTCGCTAGCTTACACATGTCAAATTTTGTATTACGTGACGTGAATGGATGACGAAGGTATGTGACTGGTGCAAACATGATAATCATGAGATGCGTGACATGTAAGAACATGACTACATGCCTCCGTCTAGGCACCAATACATTTCCACGTGACGCGGTGCGCGCACTCACCGGCGTTCATTTCAACGCGTCACGCCGGCGTTGCGACGCCAGGCGCCGGTCCTGCCATATACTCACAGGCGCGCGCCGCGCTGCGTTCCTTTGACCAATGCGCGTTTTAGCGCGTTCGGCGTTCCTCCGTCACGAAAAGAGAAAGACGCAGTGTTGTCTGGGTAACGCATTGGCACGAAATGCAGCATGTGAAATTTCGCACCGGTTGCCGTCTGGCCGCGTCGACGGACGCTGGTCGCGCCGGTCGCGCCTGGCGTCAAACTATAGAGTGCTCGCGTTTTGCTAACGTACCGTCGCTGTGTTCAGCGTGCGCGCTCTTCAACACTACATTGGAGTATATTGGGATCTTCATGATGCGCTCGCGGCCAATTTGCTAGCTTCGCATACACCAAATTTGGTGTTAAGTGACGTCAATGGATGACGAAAGTATATGACTGATGCAAACATGATGATCATGAAACGCGTGTCTTGTAATAGCATAAAAACATACCACGCTTATAGTGTGCTCGTGGTCGTTTCACTAACTCCACATATACTAAATGAGGCTTCACGTGACGTGAATAGATGATGAAGGTTAACGACACTCCAAGAATGATAATCATCACACTGAATTCATGTACAGAATAATTTACCTCCACCTCGTAACGTTGTGTTGATTTTAAAGTGACATATCATCCTTCCTTCACTCGTGCTTCACATATCATTGATTCCCACTGTACGTGGGATCTGCCGATTTTTTTATCCATTATGCTTTCTCAGCTGACATGCATATGAGTACGATTGGCGTACCTATTATCCAGAAAAAGGACATGATTGCATGTATGAAGACAAACCGGGTTACAATACACGATACCTGACTTGCTCTGATACGATGCGGCCTGCACTTAAGAAAAAAGAATACGTCTCTCCTGTGTTTCTTAGAACATCACGGATTTTCTTTCCTAATGACAAACGTCATCTTTCTTTCTATCCTTTTTTCAACGCAATGTTCTTATTGGTCCATGCTCACTTTTATAGTACAAATCCGTGCAGCTTGCCATACACATCCTATATGCAGTGCTACTCTTCGTACTCTTCCTAACTTGGAATACACTTCACTGCCATCGTTGTCACACTGTGATACCATATTTAGTGAATGTAGCGGGCGATTATTTTATTAATGTGACTACATTTTCTCTCGCGGCTGCTACGTCTGCCAAATTGAGGACAGACGCCGTAAAGCTTCTCGCTGCGTTTGTACTTTGTGGCCGTGACTGACGTTCGTTGTAACTGAACATGCGGTCTCTCTCCGCACGCGGGCTCCGCGTCATTCCTGCCCCTGCTCGGCTCGCTAACTCTCGAGCTAGGGTGTGTGCGGTTTCATTGCCCGGGAGGGAGGAGTGGGCGGGCGTCCATATAACATAAACGTCACGCTCTCCGCGAAAGTTATTTAAGATTCTTAACGCCTCTTTCGAGACCCTTCCGTTAGCGAAGTTATGAATCGCGGTTTTAGAATCACTGATTACGACGCTGGCCCTTGTGGACGCAAGCGTCAGCGCTATGGCCGTTTCTTCAGCGATTTCCGAATTTCCTGTTTTAATGGTGCCGCTAGCAAGCAGGTGGCCCGCTTGATTTGAAGCGACTATTGCCATGTGTCGACCGTCTGTATATTCGGCTGCATCTACATATACCACGTCCGCGTCATGTTGAAACTTCTTGTGCAGTGCTCTCGCTCTTGCATTCCTCCGCTCCCGGTGATGTTCGGGGTGCATGTTTCTGGGTAACGGAGGTATTATGATGCGCTCTCTGGTTTCTTTTGGGATATCGTATTTATTGCCGCTTTGGCCAGCGTACGTTATTGCAAGTTTGTGCAGGATGTGTCTTCCCGTGTTGCTTTGCGCGAGTCGTTCATATTGCGCTATCATATGAGCCTCAATAAGTTCGTCTAGCGTGTTATGCATTCCTAACGCTTCGAACTTTTCGTTAGACGTGGTGATCGGTAATCCGAGGGCTTGCTTATATGCTTTTTTAATTATGCATTCTATCTTTTGTTTTTCCGCCACTTGCAACTTGAGGTATGGGGTCACATACACTATGCGGCTGACGACGAAGGCTTGGATGAGCTGCACTAAGTTGTGTTCTTTCACGCCGTAGTTTTTGTTGGCGATTCTTCGAATCATTCGAATGGTTTGTTGGGTGTTGTTATCCAGTAACTTTATTGCTTCCCCGTTATGTCCGTTCTCGGATATTCGGAGTCCCAGAACTCTTATGTGTTGTACCTGAGGTATTGGGTAACCTCCTGCTAAGATTGTGATGTTGTGTCGTTCGTGAATGCGCTTGCGACCTCTGCTTGTAGGTCTGTAGAGTAATAACTCCGATTTTGAGGAGAGCATTTTAGGCCATTGTTCTCCACGTATCGCTCTACCGTATTTACTGCTTGTTGTAAAATCTCTTCTATGTGACCGTCGCTCCCGCCCGTCACCCATAGGGTGATGTCATCCGCATAGATACTGTGCTGAAGCCCTTCGACGCGTTCCAGCTCTGAGGGTAAACCAAGCATCGCCACGTTGAATAGGAAAGGGGAAAGCACCGAACCTTGTGGTGTCCCTTGTTGCCTAGAACGAATTCTTCGGATTCCGCTTCCCCGGCCGTGATTGTAGCTTTACGGTTGGTGAGAAAATCTTTTATGTAATCGTACACTCTCCGACCTACGTGTAGGTTTTGCAAGTTGCGCAATATGGCCTCGTGGGTGACGTTATCAAATGCCTTCTGCAGGTCAAGATGATGTGGAAAATAAAGTTTCAGTCAGCATGATTTGGTGAATATTGTTTCGCCTGTTGCCTTTTTTTTACAGTGCTTCACTGCGAATAATTAAAATGTCAGAACCTCAGAAGCACCATGCAGGTAAAACCAAGGACATTTTACTGTTCGTGATGGCAGTCTATAGAAAAAAGGGGGTATCTTTATCTATCTTTGCCCGCTTTCTGTGCACACAATGAGCCTTACTTCACGAAGTCAACCGGTGTTCTATTTGTCTAAACGCGACACTGTGCTAATTAATGTTGTCAGTTTTATTGTAAAGCGAGCGCTGAATGCGATGAGCAAAATGCACGAACCATGACGATGAAAAGCGGTGACTGCGGATAAGCCGTGGCCCATGGCAGAACATTGCTGAGGTAGAACAATAGAAACACTTCGACAATGCACGTGAGCACCATGACGGCGAATAACTCGAACACAGTGACGCTGTCGAAGTTTAGTGCATGCTTGAATATGCTTCCCCAGCCGGCTCCACCTATGTACACAGGAGAATAAAATGTACAAAAAATTTGTCTCATTAGAGCGGTAATTGCGAATTATATCTATCTATCTATCTGTCCATCTATCTATCTATCTGTCTCTCTGCCTGTCTGTCTGTCTGTCTGTCTGTCTGTCTGTCTAGATTATCTGGTTTCTGTTTTTTTTTTCATTCACTTGGTATGTATCCCAATTCACTTGACATGACATGATCATGCCACAAACTTACAGGGCTGAGTAATGCATGAATAACGCGACACATGTCAGCTTTATCACCACATAAATGACAGCGTGCCATCGTGATAGCCCGGTTGTCATTGCACGAGCATAGTATATACTAAAATGGGCGTACCATGTGTATCTTAAACATTGATGAATTGCCCTGACGAGAACAGCATAATGTACGTGTCATGCATTACGCCGCGATGCCATAGTGGTCCTATCATTACCTTGGCAGGTGAATATGCATCGCAAGACGGGCATGTACAACAAACATGACAAAAAACTGCCGAGACCAGAATCGCGGCAGCCGCTTTTGGGGCAGCAGCCGAACACCGTAATTACTGTACTACAGCGGCGTACATAGGCGATGCAGAGATGGAAAGGTTCGCAAAGATAAAATTACCTTGGAAGTAGACACTAAGGCTGCTTTAAATAGAATGGGTGACCGGTCAAACAACCGCGATAGTAATCCCTTCGGCATTTGTGGGTGACCAAATGAAGATTACTCATTTTCGAAGCCTCATGTCGTGCAAACTTACCCTCGTAGTCGTCAAAGATCGCGAGAGTCCTCAGCAATATAGAGCATCCGTATTGTGGAGCGATGGCAGATTTAAGCTTCGCCCAGCGGTCTTGAAACACCAACCCGCTGAGCGACGATGGTTCACTTGGGAATGCGAACGATGGAATGAAGAAGGCCACGAATATAGCACAAAAGGTGGCTCTGTTCCCTGGTACCAATGACAAAAATTTTGTTATTAGTGAGACATGTTTACTTCGGTGGTTCATTAATATCATTATCATTGACGTCATCAACCTGAAAGCGCCAAGTGCGAAGCAAAGGCCCTTCGCGGGTTTCGCCAGTCACCTCAGCCCTGTGGTTTCTGTGGCCACGTTATAACCACGCAAAAGTCTTGTGGCATTTTCGGCTGGCTGCACCGGTGGCGTTTTCTGTGCACTCGTGCCGTGCCGTACGTTCGTCTGGGCACCCCGCGTGCGGTGCCGCATGTTCATCTGGGCCGGCTACAACACGAGTGCACGCCACGGTGGCACCGTGGAGGTCGACGGTGGAACGTGGTGCAATCCATCATCCCGCGCGCGCTAGCAGACGACGCGGTGACGTTCTATCTTTGCAGGCGTAATTTACAGCTGGCGCTGCCGCAGAACACGGCTGGATGGCACGGGAAACGTGCATATACTTACATCGTCCGACCGTACTCGTACAAGGGTACTTTTGCTGTCAGGATTCCACTGGACACCGAAGGCGATGTAAAAATTACCGTAACCCTCGTCGAATCGGTACAGGATCGATGCAGCACAACCGCCTGGAGAACAGCCCAAGCTGGTGGCGTTCATGTGGCTTACGTAAAACCGTCCTATACTTGCTACGAACTATAGCGCGTCCTGATACTACCTATAGAGGGAACTCTGTCGCTGTGATTGTTCAGTCAACATGGTAATGATTGGTAGTATACGGATCTGCCTAATCTTCTCGCTCACGGCATCATTTAGCCAACATGTGAATGATGGGTAATACAAAAATTTGTCTAATCTTCGTGCTTGCGGCTTTATTTATTGTAGTCTTTTCATACGCTTCTTTTGGATAAAAGAGTGCATTTTGTGAACTTTGTGGGCCAATTTGAATTGGTGAGCCTAAAAACGTAAGTGAAACTGCTGAATGTTTGCTGAATTTTGTCTTGCGAGAAAGTGGCCCTTTAGGCCACATGGAGCCACATGGAAACAAAAAACGAAGTTTAGAAAAATCCTTGCACAACCTAGAATTCCCATGCTGGCTGAGGTGCCATGAGTTCCAGCGCGCATGCGTAGTATCACCAGAGTATCATCATCATCATCATCATTATCATCATCATCAGCCTGACTACGTCAACTGCAGGACAAAGGCCTCTCCCATGTTCCGCCAGTTAACCCGGTCTTGTGCTTGCTGCTGCCAATTTATACCCGCAAACTTCTTAATCTCATCTGCCCACCTAACCGTCTCCCCCTAACCCGCTTGCCTTCTCTGGGAATCCAGTTAGTTACCCTTAACGACCAGCGGTTATCCTGTCTACGCGCTACATGCCCGGCCCATGTCTATTTCTTCTTATTGATTTCAGCTATGATATCCTTAACCCCCGTTTGTTCCCTTATCAACTCTTGCTCTCTTCTTGTTATAGCCCTATTTAATATTACGAAACCATTCTATACAAACGACAATGCCTTAAGGTTGCCGTTGGTGGCCACTTTGTGCCATATTCTCTACTTCCCGACCCTTTCTGGCGACGAAAATTTCATCTTGGTGCCATGGCTACTTGCTGGTTACTTTGAAATTCTATTTGGCGCATTTTCTGACCATTTCTTTATATTAACTGAAGATAACGCAGAAAGCAAATTCAAAGAATAACAATTATTTGCAAGATTTCCTGTTGGTTTCCCTACGCATGCAGACGTCCTTGTCCCGCCAGTGTGCTAGTGAAAATCGAGGCACCCAACGAGCGTTCGAAGGGATGCATGCATGTAAGTAACGCGAGGCTATATATATAGCACAGTGCGGACATGACATACTGTCACGCTGAAACACAGTGCTTCGAAGAGGTATCAGCAACAAAATGAAGCTGGACTTTTCACCATCAACCACATTTCTCTATTTGAAGCTAAACTGTAACTTTGTTGACGTCTCAGTCTACGGCTTCAAAAAAAAGTAGCCGGAACGTTTGATGTTCCTACTAAGTTGCAAGTTTAAAATTACTTTTGCGAGAACACTATCTATTGTAGACAAAATGAATGCTGGCGCACTGAGAGTAAAATCATTTGTTAATTTATGACAATTTTTTTGCATGTTACCTAAGGCTTGGAGACCAAGCAAAAAAGGAAAATATAACGCTCGTTATAATCTGTTTTTGTTTATTCAAAATCATAACATTTACTGTTGAATACTAAGAACTTTTTTTCATTGTGCTAAAGATTTGACGCAAAAATCGGCTTCTTTTATAGTCTGGCCAACGGCGACACCGCGTGACAGCACAGCCAAACTTCGACTAGACTGACGTGGCAATACACGCACTTGCTAGATTTTTTTTTGTTTTTTTATCTCTTTGACACATTAGTTCTCCCACTGTTCACTACATTGCACTAGTGGTTCTATCAGTATAATGCTTCAGAAGCACATTTGAAACATTACGGTGATGAAACTTTTAGTCTCCTCTATACGCATCGCTAAAGAACGAACGCGCCGAAGTTAGTTCTTCCCGTACTCCTAAGGGGGCACCACTATAGGCTTCAGACTAGTGGTGCCATGCCTGTATATGAAGCGTGGAGTGGGGGAGACTTCTTTGTTCACGCAATTTCGCCTTTCTTTCCTCCCTTCTATTTCTATTTTCTTCCCATGTTTCCTTCTTTTCTCTATATTTCTCGCTTCTTTCCTGATATTCAATTTTTCATACGTCGTTTTGCTGGCTTTACGCCGAGCGACGACAGCGTACAGCAGCACAGGCCCTCAATGTGGTCCGAACTTAATATCGTCAGGGTGCTCGAAGGCCGCGCTCACTGGCGCAAGCGCGTCCAATATTCTATTCAGGTGGCTCAGCAATACGTGGCTTTGCCTGCATTGCAACAAGCTACGTGTACCGCATACGACCACAGCATACGACATCCCAGCGTCCTAAGTGCTCCGCACTTGAAAACAAATGTGTATCCGCCCATAGAAAGGCTTTCGACCACAAGCACCTCGTCGGCGTATACACGGCGCAACACGCTTTGTCGACACGCGTTTGCCTTGTCTTCATTATTTCGCCGTCCTATGTAATTTTCATTTTCCAACACATCTCGACTGAAAAGGAACTGAATTGCACTGCAACTTACCCGCTCTGCATACAGCAGACACGATCATGGCCAACAGTACGTGCCCCGTATTGAACAGCATCATGACGAATATAACCAGGCTGACATCGGTATGCGTGAAGAAGGTGTCCTTCCAATAACCGTGGCTTCCTGCGATATACAGAATCGCGATAACGATGGCGCTGTCGACCATCTGAATCGTGAAGGACGCGAGGAAGTGGCCCAACCAGAAAGCCGACGATGGTAAACCGTTGAGTCGCTGCTGGTCCTGAAAGAAACGCGTTACGGCAGTTTGTAGTCCACAATTCAGATGGGAGAAAATAGCTTTACAGAATATTTGAAAAGCCAATTTTCTTTTTCATTTCAAAAACAGCCTTTAACGGCTGCTAATGTTTCCTCCGTGTGGCACTGCTTGCGTTACACTCGCTCGTGTATTGGTTACGGTTGAGCTTATGCTGAAAATATTTAGCATGGCCTGTGTCATTTAGCAGCGTAAACTCAAGTGTATTTGTTACTTGTCAATTTATTTTTTTTTCGCTAGTCTTTCCGCACGAATGAATTTTCTTTTGCTTTAGACTCTAACCTATATTACAGAGTAGCTGCCAAATTCAGTTGCCTGTTGAATGTATTGAATGGCCACTTTTCCAAACAAGCCCTGTCCACCTGCTTTATCAAGCGTCACTGACTACATTTATTACTTTGTGTCTACACTAATGCCTGCAGCTCTCACTCACACACTTTCATTGCAGTAGTTCCTTAAACGCACCCTAAGAAGAAGAAAGAGAAATGCTATCTGTTGAACATTGCACACAACCCTAAAAGACCACGTATGTGACTCTCTCTAAAAAACACGTACGCTCCTTTGGTTATTCTAATTCATAAACTCACTCTGGTTCACACGTATCTCCGGCGAGATCTCCAAATATTTCACGTGTCACTTCAGAGGCATTCATATGCGTGGTAAGCCAGAGTTCTCAAACAATAGTCAAGGAACTCATTTCTTTTATATGCGAAACATTTCTTAGTGAACTTTGGCAACTTTGAGCGTATCTATCTATCTATCTATCCATCCATCTATGTATCTATCTATCTATCTAATCTATCTAATCTATCTATCTATCCATCCATCCATCCATCCATCTATCTATCTATCTGTCTGTCTGTCTGTCTGTCTGTCTGTCTGTCTATCTATCTATCTATCTATCTATCTATCTATCTAATCCATCCAACCATCCATCCATCCATCCATCTATCTATCTATCTAATCCAACCATCCATCCATCCATCCATCCATCCATTCATCCATCTATCTATCTATCTATCTATCTATCTATCTATCTATCTAGCCGCCTACAACCTTTAGCTCTACTGGCGGTTTTGATAACGGTGTCAATACCAAACTTGGTATGGAATATCATGACTATATGTATAACATTTTCCACTAGTCATAACATGAAAATCATGACACGGGTGTCATGAATGTCATGATTGAAATTTCATGGTCCTGCAGCTCTTGCAGTGGTTTCGTTCACATGGCTTGTTGCAAAACTGGTTTGGTATGACATGATTGCATGGGGAACACAAGCGGCAGACCTAAAACATAAATCATGACATGCGTGTCATGTAACAAGACTCGATGCCACACTCATGATGTGCTCGTGGCCATTTCGCTAGCGTCACATATACCAAACTTGGTATTACAGTAGGTGAATGAATGATGAAAGTATGTGACTGGTGAAAACATGATAATCATGAGATGCGTGTCATGTAACAACATGACTACATGCCGTGCTCATGATGTGCTGGCGGCCATTTCACTAGCTTCACTTATACCAAATTTGGTATTTCGGGGTGTCACAAAACGAGCACTCAAAAAAGGGCGCGCCGCCAAATTCTCGCGACGAAGCGCCGAGAGGTCAACGATAAAAAAAGAAAATAAGCATCCAAAGCTCCCCGGGCGCGCGTCCCTCTCCCCTCGGAAGCGTAGGTGCGCCGACGAAACCTCCTCGCATCGGTGGCTGAGCAAGCCCTAGAACGCTCTCGATGGAAATGCGCGTGGTGATGCAGGGTTGCTTCATCTTTCGCGGACGGCCCTCGTACCGTCTCACGCTTTCCCCAGCCTTCGCTGCGTATCGCGCAGATGAAATGATGAGAACTTTCTGGAATCTCGCGCGGAAGGTATTTAATCGAGCAGCTGAGATGGGAGATCAGGAGAGAAGGAATTTCGCGCCGGAGTGCGTAGGGTGTTCCGCCGTGTCGTCGGCGAAGGTTTTGTCCTCAGTGACAAAACAGGAGAAGAAGGAAGTTAGCACCAGAGTGCGTAGGGTATCCCGGCGCGTCTGTCGGTGAAGGTTTTGTCCTTAGTGACAAAGCAGGAGAAGAAGAAAGTATGCGCCAGAGTGCGTAGGGTGTTCCGCCTTGTGGGCGAAGCCTTTTGTCTTCCGTGACAAAGGAGGAGAAGAAGAGGATTTCCACCTGAGGAGTGAAGACTAGAGCTACAGGCAAGAGTGTGTGTCTACCGCTATCGAGCGAAGACGCGTGGCAACAGCTGCGTGTGGGAAGCCGACGTGTTTCCGGCAAAGAAGTTTGAAGCTTGGAGAGCGGCCAAGTGAAGACGCGAGGTTTCCTGGAAGAGAAACTTCGGGGGCAGCGGAACGACAACAACGCTGGACTTTGAGTAAGTGATTCTCGGAAGAGTATCATCCAGACTTTTGTTCCAAGAACTTTGGACTGAATAAGTGTTCTAACTCTTTAGTCTTTAAGTGTCTTGGTTGTTCGATGCATGCGACTGCAATGTAGTGCGTGTTGTTGACTGTGTTCGTTGTTTCGAGAGTGGTGATTGTACTGCGTAGTACGTTGTTTGAATGGTGACATATTGTATTCAACTATTGTAGAGTGTGCATACTTGAGCATCGTTTTGATCTGCTATAATTGAGAATATAATTTTGTTTTGTTTATCAACTCTCGGCTCTGACTTGTTCTTTGGGCCACAGCCGGCGTCCACTGGCGCGCCAAATAGGACCACTTCTAAATTGTCCACGATTTCGTGGTGCGGTTCGGGGAGCCGATACTTCGGCCATTGGAAGTAGCCCGGCGATCGACTCCCGAGTTAACGGAACCTGTGACAATTAATCTTGCGTCCGCGACAGGGACCTTTTGGTCCACAGTGTGTCCAAACTAGTGAGAAAGAGCCTCGAGTTGTTGATAGTGCTAGCGGAACGATTTTGTGTGTTGTTCAGTGCTCTCGTTAACGAGTGCAGGAGAGTGTTCTGATATACTGATTTAGGCAGATATTTTTTGCACGCGGCAAGGTTTTATTTGCGAGACACAATGGCTCTCGAAAAGTTAGTCGCTCTTGGTGAGAAGATGGGTCTTTCTGGCGCCGAACTATGGAAGTGGGTCACCCAGAAGAAAAAAGAAGAAAAAGAGAGGGCCAAAGAAGAAAAAGCAGCTGAGCTGGAAAAAGAAAGGTTGGTGGTCGAAAGAGCCAAAGCGGAAAAAGAGGTTGAGTTGGAGAGAGAGAGAGGTTGGCAGCTGAGAGAGCCAAAGAAGAAAACGCAGCTGAGTTGGAGAGAGAGAGGTTGACAGCTGAAAGAGCGAAAAAAGAAAGAGAGCACCAGTTGAAGTTGGAGCTGGAGAGAGAAAAGTTGGCAGCTGAAAGGGCGAGAGAAGAAAGAGAAGCAAAGGAGCGACAGCTGAAAGGAGAAAGAGAAGCAAAGAAGCGACAGCTGAAAGAAGAAAGAAAAGCGGAGATGGCTGAAAGGGAACGGCAGCGGCAGCACGAGATGGAACTCGAGCGGCTCCGTTTGCAACAGCGAAGTGAAACTCCGGTCCAAGCTAGAGTTGAAAGCAGCGAACGGGAGGACCACGGCTTCCGCTTGAACCCAAGCAAGCTGCTCGTAGCATTTGATGAAAGGAAGGACGACCTTGACGCTTACCTTCACAGATTTGAGACGATTGCAAGGAGCCAGAATTAGCCGGAACATCAATCCGCAACTGCTTTGAGTACTTGCTTGAGTGGCGAAGCGCTCAGTGTGTATGGTAGGCTGACGCCGACCGATGCAGCCAACTATGCAAAGGTGAAAGCTGCTTTGCTGAAGCGATTTAGATTTACTGTGGAAGGTTTCCGGGACAGATTTCGGACAGGAAAGCCAGCTGATGGTGAGACGGCTACGCAGTATGCCGCCCGACTTTGCCATTATTTCGACAGATGGATTGAACTTTCAGGGACAGCGCAAGATTGCGATGAGGTTAGAGAGCTCCTAATTAGAGAACAATTTCTTACTAGTTGCCACCCAAGCCTGTCGCTGTACTTGAAAGAGAGGAGAGCTAAGTCACTTGAAGACATGCTTGAATTAGCTGATCAATTCTTGGAAGCGCAAGGTGGAACTAATTTGGCCAAGGTCAAGACGGAGTGTCCCGAAGATTCAAAAAGTTTGGCACCCGAACAAAAGAAGCGTGCACCAAAGAGTGTTCGGCGATGTTTTCTGTGTAACCGAGTGGGTCATCGCGCGAAAAACTGTCGTACTAACTTTACGAGCCCTACGGTAATAAAATGTTTGAAGTGTGGTCAGACTGGACACAAAGCAGGCGCTTGTCGTAACGGAGTGAGTCAAACTCACCAGGTATCCTGTGTGCTAGCAGCACCGAAATCCGATGGTGATGCCGTCACCGACGGATTCGTAGAGTTAAAAAATGGGGAGAAACTTCCTATTGTGGGTGCTGTAATGACAAAACAGCCGACCGGTGTTACGAAGGGAATGCCAACGCTGCCTGGAAAAGTTGCGGGCAAGAAGATTACGGTGTTAAGAGACACCGGTAGCTCCACGGTTATCGTGCTGAGAAATTCGGCACTAGAAAGTGAAACAACAGGCAAAACGAAACCAGTTTGCCTAATTGATAGTACGGTTCGGATGCTTCCCGAAGCAGAGATTGAGGTTGAAACCCCGTACTTCAGAGGGAAGGTTACGGCTCTATGCATGATGACCCCCCTGTACGACCTCGTCATCGGAAACATCGACGGGGCGCGAGGGCCGAATGATCCAGAACGTTTGGCGGAAGACCCGAAGATGGAGCCCCCGCCGACACAGGGACCACGAGATACAGCGGAGAAAACCCCCGTGACGGATCTCACTCGAGCCCAAGGTGAAGCCGCGGTGCAAGAGATAGTGAATGAGAAGATGATCGTGTTGAATGAGTTCACGTGCTGGGCAGCTGGACTTACGTCGGCACGACCTCAACCGACCGACAGTGTAAAGGTGACGGAGT